TATATACATATATATATATATATACATATATTATTTTTTTTATATATATTATTTTTATTATATATATTATTTTTGTATATTATTTATTATTATAAAAAATGTATTATAATTATTTTTAGTTTTGTTGTTATTATTAACTACTATTATCTTCATTTATTATTCTTATTATATATTTTTTTATTTTTTATTTATTTTTATTTTATTTTTTTATTTATTTTTATTGTTTTTATTTTTTGTTTACTCTGTATTAGCATCTATTATTATTATTATATTTTTTTATTTTATTTTATTTAATAATATTATATAGTATTATTACTATATATTGGTTTTATTTATTATTACTATTTATATATTTTATTATTTTAATTTGTTTCTATTTATTTTTTTTTTTTTTTTATTTTTATTTTTTTTTTATTGAGGCGGCAGCAGCAAACACAAAACTAAGAAGAGAAACTGACGCAACAAAAAGAAAAAAAAAAAACAAAAAGAGTGGTTTAGGGTTTAGGGTTTAGGGTTTAGGGTTTGGCGCCAGGGGTTTACACCCAGAGTCAGAGACGGGGGGGTGCGATACGCGTGAGGGTTTAGGGTTTAGGGTTTAGGGTTTAGGGGTAGGATTCTGGGGTTTACACAGCCCCTTGGTGCAGGTATATGTTTAGGGTTTAGGGTTTAGGGTTTAGGGTTATTAGGGTTTTAATTTCGAGGGTTTAGGGTTAGGTAGCACCGGGCCCCACCGCACGCAGAGCAGCAACCCTAAACCCCAAACCCTAAACCCTAAACCCTAAACCCTAAACCCTGAAGGAGAAGAAAAGGCAGTTAGTGCAGTTCTGTTTAGGATTTATATATTAAATATATTTTTATAAACAACTTAACAATAACAAAAAAACAAAACACACCTGCAGCAACAGCAGCAGCAGCAGCAGCAGCAGCAGCAGCAGCAGCAGCAGCGTGAGCGGCAGCAGCGGCAGCAGAACCCCTCATTGCTGTCTGTGTGTTGCTGTAGAGAGATAGAAATTTGTTGTTATGTTTCTTGGTGTAGGATTTGTGGTTTAGGGTTTAGGGTTTAGAGAGTTCAGATATTTTAGGGTTTAGGGTTTAGGGTTTAGGGTTTAGGGTTTAGGGTTTAGGGTTTGATCAGGTCACCGCTCTGCTCGACGAACACTGAACTTCTGAATACGAGCGATATAACATTGAGGGTTTAGGGTTTAGGGTTTGTCTCTAGGGTTTAGGGTTTAGGGTTTAGGGTTTAGGGTTTAGGGTTTAGGGTTTAGGGTTTACACAACACAGCAGCACAATGGAGAATTCTAAGAACCTCAGTATACACCAGAACCCTGCGGGGGCCCCTGGGGGGCCCCCGGGGGCCCTCAGCAGCAAACCAGAGACGAAGGCCAAGGCATGCGAGCAGCAGCAGCAGCAGCAGCAGCAGCAGCAGCAGAGAGCAGCAGCAGCAGCAGAAACAATAGCAGCAGCAACAGCAGCAACAACAGCAGCAGCAGCAGCAGCATCAACGATAGAAGACAGTGCTGCTGCTGCTACTGCCGATACACCCTGTGCGTCCCCTTCTGCTGCAGCAGCAGGTGCAGCAGCAGGCGTAGCAGCAGCAGCAGCAGCAGCAGCAGCAGCAGCAGGAACAGCAGCAGCAGCAGCAGCAGCAGAAGGAGAGGGAGCATTAAGAACAGGGAGAAGGCGACCCACCCTAACCCTAGCAGAGCTCCCCAAGAGGGTTTTAGAATGCCAGGTAAAACCCTAAACCCTAAACCCTAAACCCTAGTAAACCCTAAACCCTAAACCCTAAACCCTGACATGGTTATGTTATATATATATATATATATATATATATATATATATATATATATATATATA